GTCTCCCTTAAGTAGATAGAATGTCGGGTATATAGGGATCTTGTTATAATATACCCAAAGCCATATTCTATCTACTTAAGGGGATTATGCGCATGAAATCCACCAAAATTCTTCTTGAAACACAGAGCTTTCCCTGTACAATCTCGAATACTTCGCCCCTGTATATTCAAAGGATGATGATGAAGACCGGCGTCTCCAGCCAAGGGAGGGCAAGGACGACAAAGACCGACGCAGGCGCGGGATGAGAATGTCGCGATTTTACTTTGGGGTATGATAGGGTTAAGGGTTTAGGGTTTAGGGTGGTTATCTAGCCCACCTCAAAATACATAATGTTACTAGTACTATTGTACTGGATACTGCTCCATAGTATTAAGAGTCAGAATGTTGAAAATGTATTTCAACCACTCCCTCGCTGCAGACAAATGGCGACAACAGGTCAACCCGGAGTTTAAGGGTTCAGGGTCTAGGGCCCTATGTGAGCTAGAGTCTAACCTCCTGAAAGGGGGATCAAATATGGGAGTATTCAGGGGCTTATTACAGGTGCTATTAAGGGGGAATACTAGGAGTTTAGACTATGGCTCCTTAGACTAGAGAGGTTTAAGGCGGTTCAGATTTTAGATTTCAGCCTGAAGTTACAACTGATCCGTGAGCCTCTTGGCGTCCATCTGACGGGTCATCTGTGGCGTCACTGTATATTGGTGGCAGCTGCGAACGAATCGAAACTTGCTGTACTGAACACTGTAATCATGAGTGGCTTTTGCAATCGGCCGAGGTTATTACAAAACTTTCCGAAAGGGTCCATTTAGCTGTATCGTATATACTTGAGCCTTACAGTAGGTATATGGAAACCCCACTGGGCCCTAAGTGTACGCCATATACCCAAGTGGACCCTTTGGGTTTCATGAGCGGTTAAGGGTATGGGGTCTCAGGCATGATCACCAATACCTCTGGACGCTACTCCTAAACCCTAACCCCCAAACCCCTAAACCCCAAACCCCTAAACCCCAAACCCCTAAACCCCTAAACCCCAAACCCTAAACCCCCTCAACCCCCTAAACCCCCTAAACCCTAAACCTCATTCTCTCACCATCCTAAGCTCTGCGCAAATCCTATAGTCCCCCTTAAGTAGATAGAATATGGGGTATATAGGGATCTTATTATAGTATACCCAAAGCCATATTCTATCTACTTAAGGGGGACTATATCCCTGAGAGTGGCTCCCTGGAACCATGTTTGGAGGCCCAGGGCCAGTTTCGAGCCTAAGGTCTAGGGTTTAGGTGTTTAGGGTTTAGGGGTTTAGGGTTTGAGGGTTTTAGGGTTTACGGTTTTGGGGGTTAAGGGTTTTAGGGTTTAGGGCCTAATAAAACAAGGCAGCACCTGGAGTTATGCTGCTTAAATATGCACAGAGGCTATTCCTGAACCTCCAAGCAACCATCCACTCTTTACACAGCGTACGTGACTTTGTTCTTGTTCCCCGCAGCATAGGATAGACATGACGAAGGGTACGGAATGATACAGAGAATACTGACGTAAGCCATGTTATCATCAGCTCCTAATATAGAAACCCTACCATATAAATACTCAAGGATACTTAAGGTCCTAAAACCCTATATCACTTATATATCCCTATATACCCTTATATATATCCCTCATATTACCCCTAGAAGCCGTACATTGAACCATGTAGATACTTAAGGCCGTAAACTCTATATATGTAACTTGGATACCCCTATACACCCTTATATCTCCCCGTTATCACCCCTAGAAGCCCTACATTGAATCGTATAGATACTTACGGCCCTTAACCCTGTATAACTTATATACCCCTATATACCTTTATACATCCCTGATATTACCCCCCCAAAGCCACATTGTACCATATAGCTGCTTAAGGCCCTAAACCGTATATAACTGATACATCCCCTATATATCCTCATGTACCCCTTCTATTACTCTAGAAACCCTACTTTGAAACATATAGATATGTACCCTAAACCCTAAGCCCGGTAGAATCCTTGGGGAACAGGCCTTTCCCTGAAGATTGCGATTGGGCGGAGCGTATTCACGGAAAGGCGAGGCCATGTCTGAGATCTGCCGCATAGGGGTCCCTTTAATGGGTTTCTATAGGGATATATGAGCCATAGTCTAAACTCCTTAAAGGGGGTCATATAGGGCATTATATAGGGGACTACTATAGGGGGTATCAAGGGGGATACTAAGAGTTTAGACTATAGCTCATATAGGGTTTGGGCCTTCCTAAAACTTTGGATAGCTTTTTGAGGGGCCTCCATCAGAGGAATTGTTGTATTTCGGGGTCCGGTCTTCCATTTATGGAAGCTGTGTCAAGTCCACAGATTGCTGCAGTAGAGCATAAGGTTAAGTTCACATTTTGCTCATGATATTTCACAAGAAGAGATGCAAACGTACTTGGGTCAACAGCCAGAGAGGTTCACCTTGACTTTTGGGAGGAGAATTACTGGACTGCGTGACAGTGTTTAGGACGTTGTGTAAATAGTCCATGTAATCTCTGATATGCCCACCATAATCCCCTGCAATCCCCATGTCCCTTAAAATTCCCTGTTGTAGAAAAACCTTAAACCCAAAAGCCTAAACCCTGAACCCTAAACCCCTAAACCCCTAAACCCCTAAACCCTAAACCCCAAAAGCCTAAACCCGGTAGAATCCACCTGGGCGACCCTTTGGGATTGTAACACACTTGCACTATCCGGAAACCCTCGCTGTAAAAAATCAGCGTGAAGCCTTCATCTTAGCCGAAAACTGCGTTTTCTAAACGCTCAATCTGGGTAGGTTCCTGGGATATTTGATATTTTCCCTAATTGTTTTAACAGGGGACCCTATATATTAATATTTTTCAAAGGGTTTTAGGGGCCAACCCAGTCAATATGAATGTGCTTCCCCTCCGCAAGCTTGGAGGTGAGATACATCTATTTTTCCACACTGAGCCCAGGAAGCAGGAGAGTAGAAGTAGGTCAGTGCCAAACACCTGAGGCATGAGCATAGCAGCATCACACATGCACACGCACTCTCTCGCACTTGTGGGAGTTTTAAAAAATAGTGGGCACCTAACGACTATAGTCCTTTTTATGGGGACCCCTCAAAAAGGTACCCCTAATTTGGGCAACCTCCGTTTGAGATGAACCCTTCTTTGGAGGTTTTGTGTCAACCGGATACAAGGTTTTGGCTGTAGCGCTGAGGCTTCAGGGCCCAAGACGTCGCGACTTGGTTGCCAGCAAAGTTCAAAGGGACCCTAACTCAGAGAACAACCACAGCAATCCTGCATTGCTTAATCTATACTGTTGATTTTATGTGTTGCTTTTCTTCGTGTCTGCAGGGGGCGGGGGCTAGTGCAGGGGGTCTGTCGCTAGGAATAGCAAGATCTAGAATGCTTAGTCAGGTTGCCATCTTCTATGTCAAAGCTTGCAAAAAGTTACGCAAATCCTAAACTAACCCCAAACCCAAAGCCCCAGACCCTAAGCCCTAAATCCTAAACCCTAAGGCCTAAACCCAAAGCCCTAAACCCTGACACTGTCATCATCACAACCTGTCCAGGGACGTCATGATGGCGAAGGTGACGATTCCAAGGATGATCCTCATGAGGACCCGGGCCCGGCTATCTCACTCCCCAACAGAAAGGGACCATTAGTATCAGTATATTTGGGGGTTTCCCAAAATTAGGGGTACCTTTCTGGGGATCCAGATAGTAAGGGCTATAGTATGTTGGGGTCTACATTTGGGTTCCCTTATTTTGGGAAGCTACCATTCATTTTTCTTATCATGATTGTTCATTATTACTTGATTATTGTTATTGTTATTATTACTATTATCACTACTATTCATTATTATTTATTGTTTCTTATTATTCTTACTGTTGTTCTTGTTATTAGGATTTAGGGTTTAGGATATTGTTCTGGTTACTGTGTTATCATTATGTTTATTGTTGTTGTTCTTGCTGTTACCAATTTTTATTTGTACCATTAATACTGTTATTTCTGCTACTTGCAGTTTTTACTGTCATGCCCCCCCAAAGCCACTTCTGCAATTCCTCGACCTCTCGGAATTCTGGACCCAGAAGCACAGACCGTGCTAGGATGCTTTGTCAGAATGCTTCAAAGTCTTGGGGTGTCCATAATTTGCCGGGAAGGGAGTGAGTCGAGGTACGGTGAAGTTTGATGAGGCAGTTTTTCTCACCAATCACCCTTAAACCCTAAACCCGATTTAAGGTGTAGGAAGCTTTGGCAACATGATCTTTAGGGCCCGTTGAAGCCCCAAAGCCCCTTAAAGGACAAGGACGACGATGATGAGGAGGAGGAGGAGGAAGAAGGGACGCCGGAGCAGGACAATGTCTTGAACAGCTGCAGGGTTACATATTAGGGCAATGTTAAGGTGAAGGTTTGAAGGAATATGCCGGGACATTAATAAAGAGAATCAAATGGACAAGAAAATGGACAGTACATTTGAAACTGCGGTTTGGCAAAAGGGTTATAGAAGGTATATAACTTACCATTGGTTAGCAGGAAATGAAGAAATGGAAGCTGCTGAGGCACTGGAGACAATATGGGGGATTTTTGCTGGATACGGTCAAGAACTCAGCGGGCCTGCCTCGAAAGACCCTGACATTGCTGACGGGCTTGCTTCGGGCTAGTCCCTAAACCCTAGGGGGGACAGTACCCAACTTAAACCCTA